ATGAAGTCAAACTTTGGTCAAACTTTGCTATTTTATATATTTGCTATTGTAGATGTTGATATTTTTTAATATCTATTTGGTCAAACTTTGCAAAGTTTGACTTGGCACAAATCTAACATGCAGAGTAAAAAGGACCGGAGGGAGTATGAGATAGGGTCCTTTGCATGTACGCGCCAACATCATTGTCTGCTAGATATATAAATTAATATGAAGTCAAACTTACAAGTAAATTTGTACCATACAATAGGTTTATGCTTTAGGATTTGAGATAGTTTGAAAGTAATTAATTTAAAGCGAATCTTGAGTCTTAAACCATTGGTATATATTTTATTATTTATTATGGGTATTTCAATTAACACCACATGCAAAATAGAATCCTCATACTAAGAAAATCATATATATCATAGTTACGTGCTATCAACAATGAATGATGATATTACGAGAATATGTTCTTTGCCAAACTAATAATATGAAGTTCACCTAAACAAAGTATATATTACAAGTCAAAGTTCGAGTTGCTAGTTTGACTACATGTTTTTTGAAACTTGACCTATTTCAAATTTTTTTGATACCATTATTATATCATTTTTTCTTCCAACTATGGACAGACATATGTTAATATGATCAAATCTGATAAGAGTAATGAGGTGGCATGGGGAAATCAACTAGGTCAGATCCTCTTGAAGATTCATTTAGCCATGCACGATGATCCACTTGCATACGTTCGCAAGGCAAAGGAGACCATGGATAGGAAAAAGAGCTCACTCGAAGTGGTGTTCACACATAAGACAAGTGAATGTTTCCTCAAAATGTTTGGTCCAAAGGTATACTTCATGTACATTTGAACTTATATGCTTTTTCCAAAGTCAATTTGCACAAATCCCTATACTTTTAATAAACTAACACCATTTATTTCTTTAATGTTCATGCCTATAATTGTACAACTTGACTACCCAATTAGGGAGGTGCTTTTATCTTTGGTCGAATGTTCACAAATACAACCTTGTCATTCTCAAACATGATTGGACCAGCTGAACAAATAGAGCTTTATGGGCACCCAGTTGTCTTTATTGCACCTAGTGCCTACGGAGTTTCACAATTAAGTCACTAATGATCTTCCATCAGAACCTTCCATTTTTATAAGGGTTTTTTAGTTTGTCACCGCAAATCATCCATTAACCATCCACATACAAGGTATGTTTTTAGAATGGACATTACTCTAATTTGTTGTAAATTATAATCACTACTTAGGTGAGTACTTTAAGTTATTGGAAGAATAGAAAACTAAAATAGTAACGCTAAGACATTAGCAACCATGACATGGTTCATGCTTGACTACTAGACCATATAATTATCTCTAGAATAATGGATTCAAGCCTTGGACGAACTAGATTGCAAATATAGCTAAAAACAAGCATATTCAAGTTAATGAACATTTGAACCTAGGTGGTGGAGGTACTCTGAAAATTTCCACCAATAGAGTTTCTAGATACAAAAAAGTTTGGTGGAAATAGTTTCATAGCTTCCTTTGGATGTTAAGGAGTGTGAATTTGAATCAAAGACCACAACAATCATAAATTAATTAAGATCATCTTGAATACATTGTCCATAATTTTTTACACACACACACACATGTGCATACACAGGTAAGGTAAGTGCGATTTCTTGGAACAACACAAGTAAAACGTCACAACAACAAAATAAAATAATTGGTCAAAAAACAAAATAAGATTGAGGTAACATATTATTTACCATTTTACCGGTATATTTTTAATAACCCATTTTTTTGTAGGCTCTGATTGTGCACTACCAAAGTTACAATAGCATTATGAAGGTAATCTTATCAGTCGATGAGAAAACAATTCCAGATTATCATCAACTTCTGGATGACTTCTCTTTATCTTTTGAGCATATTATGGATGCGACTTCGAGACTTTTGGCATCCATCAAGAAAGAGTAATTAGCGAATATTGAATCAAATAACTTACTAAACATGTATAATGCTACAAATACACTCTTCTTGTACATATGCGATGTGTGTGTGGTGAGTTGTACCTGGAGTAATGGTCTCTTGTATCCTTTGAGCACCACTACTTTCATGCAAACTATAGTTCAACTTAATATTCACTAGATGACCAGTTGTGCCAATTGGTGCAGAGATGAGCTGCAGCCTGGAACTTAAGTGGACTATTTGAAACATAAAATGGAAGTGAAACAACTTGTTTGAAGCGTGACAAATGATTATGTTCATATTGCATCTATATTTGCGTTGACAATGATCATTCGCCATGGGTTTCTTTTGTGGTTCCTTTTTATGACATGAGACAGTAGCCTGGAAGTTAAGCGAAGTAAATGAAACCGTAACCAAGAAGATAAGCAATGCCATGGGCAACATGTCTAGCAGAAAGAGGAAGTTAAGTGCGTAGGCGCAAAGAGGCCAACTGAAAGCCAGAAGTTAAGCAAACTATTTGAAATATAAAACGGAAGTTAAGTGATCTATTTGAAGAAACCAACTGCAGTGATCAGCACAGAGACATTTGTCGTAAACGATATGCAATTGATTGCGTTTGTATATTTACAAATAATAGAGAGGCGCCTGCCAGAGCAACCCAACGTCAAGGTTCATAGAAAGGCTGAGCACACCCCACGTCACCCGACCCTAGACGGGAGGTGTCTGATGCGATGTCTGTCCAGCCTTTCAAAGCCATGGTATGCCCAAATACCGTGTCTCTGGGATATCATGTGCCTTTGTCATCCTGCACAGATGGTGGATCTCATCCCATTGCGCCAATTGACGTGAAGACCAATCATGCTGAGAAACGGTGCACCAAGCGCAAGGACAAAATACTAGTAGGAAAAGGTCCTCACATCCGAGGAAAACTATGGATGAGAACCAGATGCGCCAGTCGGCGAGAGCACACACTGGCATCTGTCCGGATAGGCTAATCCTCTTCGTGTCTAGCATGCAATACCCCTCTATCGTCTGGGTCCATCCATCGGCATCTAGAAACGTCCAATGAAATGACGTAGGAGATGTATTTGGCTCCATGGCCGTTTGTTCAATTGTGACAGAAGGCTCCGGCGGAAAACACAAAGACCTATAATTGTCCCTCATAGTGCGTTTTTGTTTGCTTTGACGATGATAATTGCCCGTAAAAGACAAACTACAACTAGAAAGGTAAACATGCCAAATTGATATAAAGCACCCTTACACTCCAACTATGAGTATACTCAGGTGCACATTCCTGATTAAACCAACATCAGGAATATCCTATTGAGTATCGAGGGTCTAACGTATGGTTGGCAGCAGCTACCATTAACAATAGCGGCTTCTCTTAGACCCTTCCCAGTGCTCCCCGGTGGATAGATGCTAAGCATGCCACATTGGCAAAAAAATAACATGGTGCAGTAATTAAGGAGGAGAGAGAGCACTTTGATGATCCCAGGAAGAACCAATGCCAAACACATGAACCGAGGCAAACCACTTAAATGAAAGAATTGATCAATGCATGAAAGAGTTTAGATGTTAAATCATTAAATAAAGTGAGCTTAGCAACAAGTTAAGCAGCTATGCATTGGAGTTGAGTTTTTAAACTATTTAATGCACTTAGCATCTCTTCTAAGCACCTTTGCATTGGAAGAGGTCTTAATTAACCCTTCTATATTAAGACCGTGTGCGCCATGTTAGTAAATCAAGGAACTAACAGAGGCAAAGCAGATTTCAGCTCTGCCTCATCATTATCAGTCACTTCACAAAAGTTCGTTTTGAAAGTCTGGGAAACCGTACCAAAATACCCCATTGATCCAGACTGCTGAGCTAAATGACTAGGATCGCATCCCCAAGACACGTTCGGCATGCATAGGCGGCCTGCTCGGCGTGCGTGTCAGTCGCACTGCGTCGGATTGTTTCACTCTTGCAAGGTGACTGTTGGGTTCCAGCGCGGCAACCTTTCGATGCTCACTAGTAGAAACCGGAGCTTTAAAACCGGTTCGTAAGGGCCTTTAGTGTCGGTTCTGCAACCGGCCTAAAGGTGGAGACTAAAGCCCCCCCCCCCTTTAGTACCGGTTCAGCACGAACCGCCACTAAAGGCCCACTACATGGCGTGAGTTCGCGCCGTGGTATGGGGGACCTTTAGTACCGGTTGGTGTTACCAACCGATACTAAAGGTATTTTTTTTGAAAATTTTATAAAAAATATTTGATTTTTTTTCGATTTTCAATTTTTTGAATTATTTTAACCTCTAATCTCTAATCACCCCTCACCAGTCACCACTGCTCAATTTAATCTCTAATCTCTAATCACCCCTCATCATTCCAAATCATCTAACTTTCCAAACGGTCACCCATCCTCTCACTACCCCAGCCTGAGCACGCTTAACTTTCAGGTTCTATTCTCCCTCGTTTCCAAGTCTGCACTTGTTATTTGCATGACAAATGTAAGCTATCAATCCTATTAACCCTCAGCAGTTTAGCTTGAGCATTAGGTCACACGTTTCACCGTTTGAGTTTGGAACTATTATTCTAAAAAACATTTAGTAACGCTAATATTTCTTGAATAAGTTTGATCACAGTTTGACCATAGTTTGACCAGATTTGACCAAAATTCAAAAAATTGAAATAATTATTTAGTAACACTAATATTATTTAATAATTATGTAGCAACATTAATACTTCTTGAATAAGTAGTTTGACCATAGTTTGACCAGATTTAACCAAAATTAGAAAAACTGAAATTTGAGCATATCTTTTTTTCCTTTTGGAATTTGAGGATTCTAAAAAATTGCAAACAGACCATAGGCTGTCAGAATCGGATGCGGATTTTTGTGCTGAATTTTTTGATATATTATATGTTTTTTTCCGACATCGTATGCAAAAGTTATAGCCGTTTTACATTTTCCCTACACTTTTTGCAAAACATGTCCAAATTTAAGTTTTCAAACTTTCGTAACTAGTAGATGTAGTGATATAACTACATCTCGAAGAATTTTATTTTTTGAATTTTGTACCATTTTCTTTTCTATTTTCCAAAACTGAAATGGCGATACACGGGGGAGGGGGGGTAGAGTTTGAAAATTGCCCTATAGTGCCGGTTTGTGTCTCCAACCGGGACTATAGGTCAAACCCCTTTAGTACCAGTTCGTGGCACGAACCGGTACTAAAGGTTAAAAACGAACCGGCATTAATGCATAGCCGTTCGAACCGGCACTAATGGTATCATTAGTACCGGGCCAAAATCGAACCGGCACTAATGTGTCTCACATTAGGTCCTTTTTTTACTAGTGGCTGCGTCTACCCAGATTTCATGTTTTGGCATGTGTCTGCTGGGCGTTTGGACACTGTGTTGTCTAGATGGTTCATTTTGCAACATCGGCCCGACCTTTGGACACTGCGGCCTCGCTGGTTGGTGTATGCATCTGTACGTTCTCGCTGGTCGTCTTCTCCCCTAGCCAGTATAACGTCTGGTAGGTCCGCTTGGTTTGCTTTTAGTCTGCCTGTGGAATGGATATGTATTGTATTGTTGCTACTAAGGATAAAATGTTTTTTCTTTATAACACTTGAATGATAGTTTTACTATCTACATTATGTCATCATGCTTATTGCAACGCTCTGTTGTTATAAACATAATACTTCGACATCCATACTAGATAGTGGTCTTGGGTGAAGTATTAGTTGTAGATGCATTTGGATTTAAGGTCTACATATCACTGAAGAAATAGCTATGCAAGATTATGCCATGTAACCTTCCCCGTAAGGTGATCCTAACCCACAGTCGAAAAGCGAAGACTCTTCACCGGACCGGCGGTTACATAGGGAGAAGTCGGCTGCATAAGCCAACATGCCTTTATTTAGATTATCAGGCACCGGAATTCATGCGAGTCGGGAGCAGACATAGGAAAGCACATCATCCAGCGATCTATCTCACCCGACACCCTCTTTTTGTTAGTGCTTCACCCGGAACAGAAGGTCGGGTGAACTTACCAAGACGACCTCAGGGAGCAACCCTTAGATGCACAATACAAAAGCCTATATTCAACTGGTAGGACTATGTTGCCTGGTATGGGCTGACATTCCAAAGTACGACATCGGACCAGGGGCTGCAACAGCAATAGTCCGTCCAGGCAAGGTTGCTCCACACATACATAAAAAAGGGAAATGTTTAAAGCCGGCGCACCGGCTGAAAATTCCGCCGGTCTCCTGGTCACGCTCGCTCTCTCGCGTCTACCTCCAGCTTTCACGGACGCAGATC